CCGCCTTATCTCTCTCCCACTGTCTTCTCTCTCTCCCACTGTCTTCTCTCTCTCCCTCTGCCTTCTCTCTCTCCCTCCGTCTTCTCTCTCTCCCTCCGCCTTCTCTCTCTCCCTCCGCCTTCTCTCTCTCCCTCCGCCTTCTCTCTCTCCCACTGTCTTCTCTCTCTCCCTCCGCCTTCTCTCTCTCCCTCCGCCTTCTCTCTCTCCCTCCGCCTTCTCTCTCTCCCACTGTCTTCTCTCCCTCCCTCCGCCTTCTCTCTCTCCCTCCCTCCGCCTTCTCTCTCTCCCTCCCTCCCTCCGCCTTCTCTCTCTCCCTCCGCCTTCTCTCTCTCCCCTCCGCCTTCTCTCTCTCTCTCACCGCCTTCTTTCTCTCCCGTCGCCTTCTCTCTCTCCCTCCGCCTTCTCTCTCTCCCTCCGCCTTCTCTCTCTCCCTCCGCCTTCTCTCTCTCCCTCCGCCTTCTCTCTCTCCCTCCGCCTTCTTTCTCTCCCTCCGCCTTCTCTCTCTCCCCACTGTTTTCTCTCTCTCCCCTCCGCCTTCTCTCTCTCCCTCCGCCTTATCTCTCTCCCACTGTCTTCTCTCTCTCCCTCTGCCTTCTCTCTCTCCCTCCGTCTTCTCTCTCTCCCACTGCCTTCTCTCTCTCCCTCCGCCTTCTCTCTCTCCCTCCGCCTTCTCTCTCTCCCTCCGCCTTCTCTCTCTCCCTCCGCCTTCTCTCTCTCCCTCCGCCTTCTTTCTCTCCCTCCGCCTTCTCTCTCTCCCACTGTTTTTCTCTCTCTCCCTCCGCCTTCTCTCTCTCCCTCCGCCTTATCTCTCTCCCACTGTCTTCTCTCTCTCCCTCCGCCTTCTCTCTCTCCCTCCGCCTTCTCTCTCTCCCTCCGCCTTCTCTCTCTCCCTCTGCCTTCTCTCTCTCCCTCCGCCTTCTCTCTCTCCCACTGTCTTCTCTCTCTCCCTCCGCCTTCTCTCTCTCTCCCTCCGCCTTCTCTCTCTCCCCACTGTCTTCTCTCTCTCCCTCCGCCTTCTCTCTCTCCCTCCGCCTTCTCTCTCTCCCTCCGCCTTCTCTCTCTCCCACTGTCTTCTCTCTCTCCCCTCCGCCTTCTCTCTCTCCCTCCGCCTTCTCTCTCTCCCTCCGCCTTCTCTCTCTCCCACTGTCTTCTCTCCCTCCCTCCGCCTTCTCTCTCTCCCTCCCTCCGCCTTCTCTCTCTCCCTCCCTCCCTCCGCCTTCTCTCTCTCCCTCCGCCTTCTCTCTCTCCCTCCGCCTTCTCTCTCTCTCACCGCCTTCTTCTTCTCTCCCGTCGCCTTCTCTCTCTCCCTCCGCCTTCTCTCTCTCCCTCCGCCTTCTCTCTCTCCCACCGCCTTCTCTCTCTCCCACCGCCTTCTCTCTCTCCCTCCGCCTTCTCTCTCTCCCACGCCTTCTCTCTCTCCCACGCCTTCTCTCTCTCCCTCCGCCTTCTCTCTCTCCCTCCGCCTTCTCACTCTCCCTCCGCCTTCTCTCTCTCTCCCGTCGCCTTCTCTCTCTCCCGTCGCCTTCTCTCTCTCCCTCCGCCTTCTCTCTCTCCCTCTGCCTTCTCTCTCTCCCTCCGCCTTCTCTCTCTCCCTCCACCTTCTCTCTCTCACTGCCTTCTCTCTCTCTCACTGCCTTCTCTCTCTCCCACTGCCTTCTCTCTCTCCTCCGCCTTCTCTCTCCCTCTGCCTTCTCTTTCTCCCGTCGCCTTCTCTCTCCCTCCGCCTTCTCTCTCTCACTGCCTTCTCTCTCTCCCACTGCCTTCTCTCTCTCTCTGCCTTCTCTCTCACCCTCCGCCTTCTCTCTCTCCCACGCCTTCTCTCTCTCCCTCCGCCTTCTCTCTCTCCCTCCGCCTTCTCTCTCTCCTACTGCCTTCTCTCTCTCCCTCCGCCTTCTCTCTCTCCCACTGTCTTCTCTCTCTCCCTCCGCCTTCTCTCTCTCCCTCCGCCTTCTCTCTCTCCCACTGTCTTCTCTCTCTCCCTCCGCCTTCTCTCTCTCCCTCCGCCTTCTCTCTCTCCCACCGTCTTCTCTCTCTCCCTCCGCCTTCTCTCTCTCCCTCCGCCTTCTCTCTCTCCCTCCGCCTTCTCTCTCTCCCTCCGCCTTCTCTCTCTCCCACTGTCTTCTCTCTCTCCTCCGCCTTCTCTCTCTCCCACTGTCTTCTCTCCCTCCCTCCGCCTTCTCTCTCTCCCTCCCTCCGCCTTCTCTCTCTCCCTCCGCCTTCTCTCTCCCTCGGCCTTCTCTCTCTCCCTCCGCCTTCTCTCTCTCCCTCCGCCTTCTCTCTCTCTCACCGCCTTCTTTCTCTCCCGTCGCCTTCTCTCTCTCCCTCCCTCCGCCTTCTCTCTCTCCCTCCGCCTTCTCTCTCTCCCACCGCCTTCTCTCTCTCCCTCTGCCTTCTCTCTCTCCCTCTGCCTTCTCTCTCTCCCTCCGCCTTCTCTCTCTCCCACCGCCTTCTCTCTCTCCCTCCGCCTTCTCTCTCTCCCACGCCTTCTCTCTCTCCCACCGCCTTCTCTCTCGCTCTGAGCACACTTTACCTGCTTATCTTATTACCCAGGTGTCAGCAAGATGCATGTTGGGTAATCGGGGGGGAGGGGCCGGCCCGTGGAGGTGTCTCTCGTTCATTTAGTTAATTGCGTTGTTGCCTGAACGCCGGTCCTGAGTGTATCAAACAGCACGACAAGACTGTAATGAGGATTTTTGAGTCTGGACCCAGGGCGGGCTTCACATTCAGGTGTAAAGACAGGAGACCAGTCACCTTCATGATACACTGAATTATCTCCAGTTGGCTCGATTCAATCACACTCCAAAGACACACACTTATTCTCCCAAGTCTGCGTTTCATTTTGACTAGAGACTTTCTTCAGTTGAACAGTGGGATTTTATGCATATTTTTAGTGATTGTAGTTACTCCTGCTCAGCATCAGTTATCAGTACTACTGTATTATTTCATATCTGATAATTCTGCCTTCCACCGTCACTTTACCTGTTGATTAGCCTACTGTATAAGTAATCTTTAGTAATCTTTATTTATATACCGCCTTTTCACCGCACATCAGAGTCTCAAAGCGGTTTACAATTGTTATTTTTTGGGAGTGGGAGGGGCCAGTACAGGAGGCACATGCCAGACCTATTGTACATATTTTTAGTGGTAGGGGAAACCTGAGCACCCGGAGGAAACCTACGCAGACACGGGGAGAACATGAAAACTCCACTCAGAATGCCCTGGTCCAACCGGGATTTGAACCCAGGACCTTCTTGTTGAGAGGCGAGAGTGCTATCCACTCAGCCACCGTGCCGCCTATTATTCATATCCATCTGATAATTCTCCCATTCAAGTCACTTTATGTCTGTTGATATTATTTCTGATGTTTATTCTGCTCATATCCTCATATTCTCTGCTGCTAATGTATAATATAGACATCTGTAAATACTCCGAACCAAGTGCAATTGTAGCCCAGATTTTCTTATTTTATTTGATCTTAAATGTATTGTCTATTATCTTAAATAATAGACTTTGATGTGTGCGTCTGAGTGCTCCTTTCTCTGCTGTAATGTGCAACGATGACACTGAAATTTCTCCTGTGAGACTAATAAAGGTTTATCTTATCTTATCAGCACACAATACAAAACAAATAAAAACATGCATACAGTACGTACACAGATATTTCTAGTAAGGACGAGGCTCCTTTCTAGAAAAACGTAGAAAATCTGTGACTAACGTTGGTGATTCCCTCTGCGTCCTGTAAAGTCGTCATCGCTGTCACGTTTACACCATTACAGGTTCACGGACAGGGTTTAAGGCGGCTGATTGATGGATGTTCTAGAGCGGGTTGTGATCGCAAAGTATTCCAATAGCAAGAATTACAACATGAAGTGCGGAAAGTGGAATAGGCAAAAATAAAGAAAAACAGGAGTCAATTCTTGCGAAAACCGAAAAGAAGTGAGAAATGAATTAACACTCAAGCTCAAGTCAATTGGACGGATTCCTTTCTACGTATTTTTTAAACAAACACGTTACTCACTTTAATGAAACTATAGAGAACTAAAATTGTGTGATTGGTTTGAATGGGAGCCGTCAGAATCATAATATGTTTGAGTGTTAAGCTATCATTATCAAATTGTATCTTTATTAAAAATCCTAGTTGTTTTGTCAATATAAGAAGAAGAACCTTTATTCGTCCCACAATGGGGATATTTATTAGTTACCTAATGTAACTGTAGTTCTACGAATAGGTGCTTAGCTTGACACATTCACATCAAGGCAAGTAGTGAACATCACTTCCCTGCTCCTTATAGTAGTAGTAGAAGTAGTAATCTTTATTTATATACCGCCTTTTCACTGAAAACGGAGTCTCAAAGCGATTTACAATTGTTATTTTTTGGGAGTGCCTCCTGTGACCAGAACTATTGGACATATTTTTAGTGGTAGGGGAAACCGGAGCACCCGGAGGAAACATACGCAGACACGGGGAGAACATGCAAACTCCACTCAGAAAGGCCCTGGTCCAACCGGGATTCGAACCCAGGACCTTCTTGCTGAGAGGCGAGAGTGCTATCCACTCAGCCACTTATAGGCCTAAATACATTTTCTTCTTCCTTCCTTTCAGGCAGAATCATTTTTACATGCAGTTTATTATGGTCTTTCTATTCACGCTTTTGCATCATATGACTGCATTTTTCTACATTTGTACTCGTCTGTGCCATTGCCTGACAATGAATAGATGACCACTGTTACCCTTTAATACCCTAAATACTTGGAAAATAAAGGTCATAACAAAGTATTGGCAGTAAAATATAAAACTATTCCCATACACAGACCTTATCCACCCTCTTCTCTCTGTCCTTCAGATGTTAGACTCCCCCTAAAGCCTCTAAGCCTGGACGATTGCCACTCTCCAAGGGACTCGCATTGGGGGCGGGGCTCCGGACAAAACCAGCCAATCGGGCGTTGGCAATGTCCCCACGACGGCGAGGGATCCAGGAGAAAACACAGCACTTTTCCTTATGTCACCGGTGATGGACGGCAGCCACCGGCTCGTAAATCAGATAAAAGAAACCCTGGATGCTGAGAAGGGGACTGGGAGCGGCGAGAGGTTGAAGGCGGGTGAGGGGGGGGGGGGGGGGGGGAGGGCGAGGAAGAGGGGGGGGGGGGGGGGGGGGGGGGGGGGACGTGTCAGGAATGAGGAAGCAGATGCTAGCTCTCACAGGAAGTCAGAGCGGCTTGGCCTAATTTAGCACAGCTGATGAAAAATGGACAGGAAAAGTGCTTACTTGGCTCGCCCTTCGCAGATCTGCCGCAGCTCCCATCCTCCCCCTCACCCCCTGCTCACCCTCACCCCCTGCTCACCCTCACCCCCTGCTCACCCTCACCCCCTGCTCACCCTCACCCCCTGCTCACCCTCACCCCCTGCTCACCCTCAACGCCCTGCTCACCCTCAACGCCCTGCTCACCCTCAACGCCCTTGGGAGCCGGTGGTCTGAGGTGTTGTCTTAATGCAGACACAAAACACATCCCTAGAACCTGCACTGATCTGCTCCCAAATGTCGATGCTACGTATAAAGAATCCGGAAAGGCAAAGTGCGGCCCGGGAGCCACATAAGGCCGGATTCACGTTTACATGAGGCCCTCAGACCTTTTCCCGTCCCCAAACTTCATACTGTCTCGCCCCTATTTAAATAAAGGAGAATCATCGCCATATGAAGGGTTGCAGTTTCATTAGCAAGTGCTATATTGGCTGTTGATAATAATAAGCTTTTAATAATTCATCTGTCCTCAATACTTTGTCTTCTTTAGCTTTAGTCCAGCTTTGGTTCTCTCCAGTAAAACAGATTAAATACAAAAATATAATCCATATTAAAAAAAACGTCAAAAATATAAAACGTAAAAAAAGTATCGCTAAAAGAGTTGAGCTAGCAGAAACAATGGGAACTTGGCAGATCATACTCCTGCCCCCCCCCCCCCCCCCCCCCCTCTGTCAAATCGTCAAAAAGTGACTCACAGGGCTCTTTAACTAAGGCTTTGTACATATTACCGATTGACGTTTGGATTCGGCTTTAAGAAAATTTTGTATTTTGTTCATGGAAAACAGATAATTCATCATTTACATTATTATCTATCTCTCTATGAAAATATATATGTGATAATATATATATATATGTGTATGAGTAATTAATTCCCTATAAATAATGCATTTCTCATACATATAGATACTTGACGATAGCCCGAGGGACGCTGTGTTATTTTAATTAACTTTATACATGAATTAATGAGAGAAAGCTTTGTATTAATGCATATAACTTTTCATCAGGCTAAAGTTCAATATCATTATCTTCACCAGAGCCAACACACTGCTTCTATTTTCTCAAACTATACAGTTTAATAACATTTTAGCATTCTAGCATTCACGATATTATAATATTACAGGTTTAAAGCGACAGCTTTATCTGTCGATGAAGCCTAATCAGACAGATCAGCTAGAAAAGCTCAGTGCTGCATAAAGGACCTTAAAATGTGGATGACTCTTAACTTCCTACTTCTCAACACGGAGAAGACAGAAGTGATCCTACTCGGTCCGAAGCGCCTGCGTGACTCCCTCACTAACCAGATGGTTACTCTCGATAATGTCAGTATAATACCCAGTAACACTGTGAGGAATCTTGGAGTCATTTTTGACCAAGAACTCTCCTTCAAGGCTTATATAAGCCAAGCAACTAAAACGGCGTACTTCCACTTACGGAACATCGCTAAAATTAGGAATTTCCTTCCTAAAAGTGACGCGGAAAAACTCATTCACGCGTTTGTCACCTCAAGGCTCGACTGTAACGCTTTACTGGCAGCGTGCCCTAAAGCCTCTTTGAAGAGCTTCCAGCTCGTTCAGAATACAGCAGCTAGGATCTTAACAGGTACCAAAAGGAGGGAGCACATAACTCCGGTGTTAAAATCACTCCACTGGCTCCCTGTGGAGTACAGAATAAAGTTTAAAATCCTACTCTTAACATATAAAGCCATAAATGGCTTGGCTCCTTCTTATCTCCAAGACACGTTAGTGTCGTATCAACCAAGTCGAGCGTTGCGCTCACAAAACGCCAGACGTCTGGTGGTCCCTAAGGTCTCAAAAATCACTGTTGGTGGCAGAGCATTTAGCTCCAAGCTCCTTTACTGTGGAATCAGCTTCATTTATGTTAAGGAAGAAGATACGGTCTCCACATTCAAGGCCAGGCTTAAAGCACTTTACTTTAATTTAGCATATAATTAGGTAATATATAATATGTAGTGTATATATTATATATATATGCTGTATTATGTTATATATTATGTTATATATTATTCAATAATGTATTGTGTTATGTTGTATATTATGTTATATATTATGCTGTATGTTATTCTTTATTCAAGGCTAGGTTTAAAACAGTCCTCTTTAGTTTAGCATATGGCTAGGAAGGTAAGACTCGGAGAAGGTTAAACTCCTCAGAGTGTCAGTCAAGCTGCATAGGGAGTCAGTTTGCTGGGAGAAGTATGGTAACTTGAGCACTATCCTCTCCTCCTTCCTACTTTATCTGTTTAGCATTTTTAGGATTTTGACTGTAGTTTGTTCATTGCTATTCACCCGTTGTCCCATTGTCTGTTTCATGGTACGATGACGGGATCTCTGAGCCTGGCCTCCTCCATCTACACCTGCGGACTGCCCCGCCCGACCCGCCTGGGAGTGCTTCAGTCCTGCACCGGACCTGTCCACGTTCAGCGTCCACTGGTCCACGTTCTGTAGCTAGCTTAGGTCCTAGATCATTAGCCTGTCCGTCCGGAGGAGCGGATCCCTTTCTCATATGGGTCTCCCTCCCTGTGGGTTTCCCTAGTTCTCCCCAAGGTTTCTCACTTTTTCCCACTGGGTTTTTTAAGAGTTTTTCCTTGTGGATGCAGGAGGGTCTTGTTGGACAGTTAGTGTCCAACAGAAAGGATTGGTGATGATCAGGACACTTTAGCATTCTACAACATGTATGGACATTTTCTTCTGTGTGTGCTTTATATTCTTCATGTGTTTTAACTGTTGATTCTCTGACCTGTGTTGGTGATTTCAATGGTTTTGTTAAGTCTCTGAGATGACTTCTGTTGTGACCTAGGGCTGTACAAGAATACATTGTATTGTATTGTATTGTATTGTAAAGACAAAATCGTTTCACTGTCACTTATGAATGTCGAATACACACATATAGCATGGTGGTAGCTATGCATATGTCTGCTATATTAGCAACATTAGCAATTCTAGCAACATCAGCAATAGTAGCAACATTAGCAATATTAGCAACATTAGCAATATTAGCAACATTAGCAATATTAGCAACATTAGCAATATTAGCAATAGTAGCAACATTAGCTATTATAGCAACATTAGCAATATTAGCAACATTAGCAATAGTAGCAACATTAGCAATATTAGCAACATTAGCAATATTAGCAACATTAGCAATATTAGCAACATTAGCAATAGTAGCAACATTAGCAATTATAGCAACATTAGCAATATTAGCAACAATAGCAATTCTAGCATCATTAGCAAAAGTAGCAACATTAGCAACATTAGCAATATTAGCAACAATAGCAATTCTAGCATCATTAGCAATATTAGCAACATTAGCAATTCTAGCATCATTAGCAATATTAGCAACATTAGCAATTCTAGCAACATTAGCAATAGTAGCAACATTAGCAATTCTAGCAACATTAGCAATGGTAGCAACATTAGCAATATTAGCACAATGTCAGTAGGCAATAATTTCATTGAAAATTGAAAATTACATCTACATACAATTGTCCCAAGGCATGAAATATGTATGTGACCTTTTACGTGTGTTCAAAGTGGAGTTTGCATGTTCTCCTCGTGTCTGCGTAGGTTTCCTCTGGGTGCTCCTGTTTCCCCTACCACTAAAACCATATACTATAGTTCTGATATGTGATCTGTGACTCTGGTCTGTGAAAGATTACTTATTTACTTAGGCCAAAACCAGTCCAGGACCAGTCTAAAACCACTCTAAAACCAGTTCAAAATCACTCTAAAACCAGTCCAAAACCACTCTAAAACCAGTCCAGAACCAGTCTAAAACCACTCTAAAACCAGTTCAAAATCAGTCAAAAACCAGTCCAGAACCAGTCTAAAACCACTCTAAAACCAGTCCAAAACCACTCTAAAACCAGTCCAGAACCAGTCTAAAACCACTCTAAAACCAGTTCAAAATCAGTCAAAAACCGGTCCAGGACCAATCTAAAACCACTCTAAAACCAGTCCAAAACCACTCTAAAACCAGTCCAGAACCAGTCTAAAACCACTCTAAAACCAGTTCAAAATCATGTCATGTTCTCAGTCATGTTCTCAGTCATGTTCTCAGAGTCATGTTCTCAGAGTCATGTTCTCAGAGTCATGTTCTCAGAGTCATGTTCTCAGAGTCATGTTCCCAGAGTCATGTTCTCAGAGTCATGTTCTCAGAGTCATGTTCTCAGAGTCATGTTCCTAGAGTCATGTTCTCAGAGTCATGTTCCCAGAGTCATGTTCTCAGAGTCATGTTCTCAGAGTCATGTTCCCAGAGTCATGTTCTCAGAGTCATGTTCTCAGAGTCATGTTCTCAGAGTCATGTTCCCAGAGTCATGTTCTCAGAGTCATGTTCCCAGAGTCATGTTCCCAGTCATGTTCTCAGAGTCATGTTCCCAGAGTCATGTTCCTAGAGTCATGTTCTCAGTCATGTTCTCAGAGTCATGTTCTCAGAGTCATGTTCTCAGAGTCATGTTCTCAGAGTCATGTTCTCAGAGTCATGTTCTCAGTCATGTTCTCAGAGTCATGTTCTCAGAGTCATGTTCTCAGAGTCATGTTCTCAGAGTCATGTTCTCAGAGTCATGTTCCCAGTCATGTTCTCAGAGTCATGTTCTCAGAGTCATGTTCTCAGAGTCATGTTCCCAGTTATGTTCTCAGAGTCATGTTCTCAGAGTCATGTTCTCAGAGTCATGTTCTCAGAGTCATGTTCTCAGTCATGTTCTCAGAGTCATGTTCTCAGAGTCATGTTCTCAGAGTCATGTTCTCAGAGTCATGTTCTCAGAGTCATGTTCCCAGAGTCATGTTCTCAGAGTCATGTTCCCAGAGTCATGTTCCTAGAGTCATGTTCTCAGTCATGTTCTCAGAGTCATGTTCTCAGAGTCATGTTCTCAGAGTCATGTTCTCAGTCATGTTCTCAGAGTCATGTTCCCAGAGTCATGTTCTCAGAGTCATGTTCTCAGAGTCATGTTCTCAGAGTCATGTTCTCAGAGTCATGTTCTCAGAGTCATGTTCACAGAGTCATGTTCTCAGAGTCATGTTCCCAGTCATGTTCTCAGAGTCATGTTCTCAGTCATGTTCTCAGCGTCATGTTCTCAGAGTCATGTTCACAGAGTCATGTTCTCAGAGTCATGTTCTCAGGCTCATGTTCTCAGTCATGTTCTCAGAGTCATGTTCCCAGAGTCATGTTCTCAGA